GTTTTCCCCTTCTAATTCTTTCACTAATGATGTGATATGATGTGAAACATTGCAACTACTTATGGTACAGTGAAATAGTTGTACTCTTTCTGTATGATTGTGAGTGTACATGAAATATTTTTTATGAGTGAGATTTTGGAATCCTAACGTAAACTCTTAATGAAATATATAAGTATTTTATAATGTTTTGTAGTGGAGGTATATGTAGATATAGGCATATGATAATGGGTGTAGAGAGAATAGATAAGGTAGAGCTCCTTAAAGAATAAAAAATGTTAAAGCTTACCTTTTACTCTCTCATATAGTGGCATTTTGTTGGATTAATTTTTTTTTTTTTTTTTTTTTTTTTTTTCTTCATTGTTCACTGTTAGACAGGTTTGTTCTTTATTAGTAAAAATGTAAGATGATGATAAGCTGATGTGCATGTGAGATTTTCCTTTTTGTGCACAATTGAAAAAATATATGTTTTGAATTCCCCTTGATCTACGTTAAACATCAGAAAGTTATATTGACGATGTGCAATTTTTCCCACATAGCACTTTAACATTTGAGAAAAAGAAGAAAAAAAAAGTAGCACAATAGACAAAATCTCTTTGATATTTTTCAATATTATTGTACATTCCCTTCTTTTTAAGATATGCTTTTCACAAACTGAATATTCATAACAGCATCTAGTAAAAGTTGCTTCTTTGAAATGTTTGATATTTATTAATTTTTATTATTTGATTATTGTTATTAGTGTTTTTTCTGTGTATAATAAGATTAATTTAAAAGCTGGGATTTTTTTTTTCTTTTTTCAGAATATTAAAGAAACTATGCTTCATTAGAAAGTAGTATTATCTTGTTAAATCTTATAATGACATAAAGTTATGTATTTTCAGGGTATCAAGAAATTCATATTTCTGTAAGCAAGTGAATTTATTTTGCGTGCACATCACATCATTATCAAATATAGCATTTTTACGCCTTAGGAATATCAAAACTGTTGTATGTAATATTTTAAAGGATCAGCTCTCTTTTTCTTCGTATCATATAAACTTGGATTCAAGTTTTGGGAACATAAGTTACCATTAATTATAGATATATGTAAGCTATATATGTATACCTCATGCAGTAATTTTTTTTCCCTTTCCTTTATATTTGTACATTTTTATTTTGTTGACTATTTTTTGCAGTGAGTATTTTTTGTGTTGTAGATCTTGCAAACAATACATCTTATAGTTTAAATCATATTCATTTTGTAGATGTATTGGTTTTGTGAGTAGTAGTGTGTGTCGCACCATTTTTAACCAGAATTATTAGTTTTGCAAATGTTGATTTGCTGATTTTTTTTTTAAGAATTTGGTGCTTTACTGTATCCTCTTCCTCATCCCTCTCCTGCTGCTGCTTCTCCTTCTCTTCTTCTTCGTCTTCTACTTTTCTTCTCCTCTCTCTCCTCCTCCTCCTCCTTCCTCCTCCTTTTTTCTCTCCTCCCTCCTCTTCTTCCCCCTCCTTCTCCTTCCTCCTCCTCTTTTTTCTCCTTCTCTTTCCTCCTTTTCCTCCCTCCCCTCCTCCCTCCCCCTCCCCTCCTTTCCTCCTCTTTCCCTTTTCCCCTCTTCTCCTTCTTTTACTCCACATTGTCATCATCATCATCACATCATCAATGTCATTGTCATTGTCATCATTTCCTGAGCCTCATTTTTGTGTTTTTTGTTTGTATTGTTGTTACATTATTTTTTTATGTGGACATATCTTTATTTTATGTGTATAATATATAAATAAACAAGATATTTAGTTGTGAAATTTTATTCCTGTGGATTGATAAATTGGTTATTCTAGTCTTAAAATACCCAGGGATTGACGTTGTTGAAGAACATTTCAATTTGCAAGATAAACTGGGATTAGGAAGATTAAAAGGCCAAATCTAGGGTAAGATGTGGACGAAGTTTGTCTGGCTCCTGAGGACCATCTGTGAAATGTATTTGAGTTGATGGACTAAATCTGCTGGTTGTTTCAGGAGGGACAAAATGTGGTATGAATAATGCTCATGGTTTCATTATGTTAGCATAATTGTAATACCAATTTGATTCTAGGTAGTGTAGTTTGTAAGCAGTAAAGGGAGATCCTTTCTTAAAAATATTGTTGGCAATATCATGAAATAGAAAGAATAACTATTGATGCTGTTCTTAATGTGTGTGTTTTAGCAGAAATCGCTAATTACGCACACAATGCGATTAGGTCAGTTGTTTGTAGCATGTCCAGAGATTAATGCTGAGTTGTGGATAGCCTATAATCTAGGATGATATACTGATATATGAAAATGTAAATGTAAGAAGATGGTGTAAATATTACATCTCATATGGAAGTGCACAATTTTAGAACACAAGTACATTTTGGATGGTATACATTGTCCATGCTTATACTGTGCATGCGCAGTGTTTTTACTTTTGTAGAACATATTTTGAACTGTTACTGTGTAAAAGTTGAGTGTCTGGTTATGTAGGTACTCATATAAGGATTTGTCATATATTGGTATGTGGCATGAAGGAATAACACATTTGAGTGAATATAAGTACTGTTGTTTAGAACATTTCACTGACTATAATTGTTACCCTCGTTGAGTTACAAGTTATCATGTGAATAGAAAGAATCCAAGAATATAAGACTTTTATATTTTGCTAGTAAAAAAAAAAAGGACACACATGTGAAGCAGTTGTAATGGAGCTTCTGTGAGATTTTATATCCAGGTCTTACTGTTAGATTTTGTTAAGTGACTGGAAGGGAATAAAAAGGAAAAAGTAAAGAAAAATAAACATATATTCAGCCCATCACATTATGATAAAATGCAGCTAAGTGTTTGTGGATGAAACAAAAGTAAGAAAAATATAGGAATTTCCCCCCACCCCCACCCACTCATTTCCTTTTATCAAGGTTATAACGACCTTCAGGATCCCGTATTATTATGATCAAGTCATTTTATTGTAACACAAAGTTCATATAAGATTAAAAGACTGTTTCTTAGCACATCTTTTACTCCATCCCTTGACATACTATATATGATTTTTTTATCACATGGTATATGCAAAAATCTATGTGAAGTTACATCAGCAGCATATTGCTTCTTTATATTAGTGTTAATTTCATACTTCAAAATACTTTGAACCAAAGACGTTTTACTAAGAAAATGTTGTTAAAAGAAAACTTCACAATTTTTACTTCATATGGGAATTATCAAACAAAGAAATAGTAAGTTATTTCAATATCAACACCATTAATCAAAAGTGTGCAAGTAACTGTGAATGCACTTGTCTATATTCACTGATATCTTTGTTCATCAGTATGAATATGTACATATAGATGCATCATGAATATATATATATATATTATATATATATATATTATATATATATATATATATATATATATAATATATATATATATATTATATTATATATATATATATAATATATTATATAATATATATATATTATATATATATATATTATATATTATATTATATATTATTATATATATATATATATATATATATATATATATATATATATAATATATATAATATATATATACACATACA